TTGAGCTCTAACTTCTTAAATTTACCCCCAAAATCTGTTGAACATTTGGTTCTGAGCTTTCATTCCCAGGAATCCCTTTGAGACAGTGAACAGTTTGCACCATCTAAACCAGGGGTCCCAAACTGTCTTGCTCCACGAAACCTTTGTGGCAGGCACTCTGAAACCGAAAGAAAACATAAGTTCAGTTCAGTAAGTAGTTAGATCACAGCAATCATGCAGAATCTCCCTTTGCACAGATAGGACTGCATCGAAGGAAATGTTGTGCAATGTAGTGTTGGAACTGTGAACCACCTGGTAGTTTTAAGACTGCCCAAGAGATTTTGAGTACTCCTGTTTTCCCCTGAAAATTTAAAATAATTCATGACACCACTATGAATGTGCTGCCAGCACCTTGCAGAACTAGATAAAACACCCTCCCACGTACACCTTCAAAAGGAGGGCTCTGCATTCACTCAAATTCATGGTCTCTTTTCACTGACTGCAGGAAAAACCGTACAAGTGCTCAGACTGCAGCAAGGCCTTCAGCCAGAAGCGAGGCCTGGATGAGCACAAGAGGACGCACACCGGAGAAAAGCCTTTTCAGTGTGATGTGAGTTTGGCTTCCCTTTTCTTTCCCTAGTGTCCTCCAGTAACCTCCGGTAACAGGAGATATGTATGTATGTGTGGGTGTATCCATGCATCTATTTGTGCATGTATGAGAGAGAGAGAGAGAGAGAGAGAGAGAGTGTGTGTGTGTGTGTGTGTGTGTGTGTGTGTGTGTGTGCTTTACAGTGCTGATTTGTGTCTATTAATGTCTTGTGCTCTTTATACCTTTTGATTGCATAATCCATGTAACCACATTGTAGCACTGTTTTTTATCCTAGTTTACTGGCAGCAAATGAACTCTGATTTTCTTTAAGACATGCCTGTACCCTGTTTTAATGCAATTTAGTTGTTCTTCCAAGGTATAAATACATGATGATTCAAGACAGCTTTCATGTGTCTGTCCAAGTCTTTGACAGGTTAATGATAGTTAAACCAGAGATTTAACTGGTTATAGATATTATTTATTTTGTTAAAGCCAAACAATTTCTAAAATATGCATAAACTCCTTTGTTTAAAAAACGCCACTGCCAGTTGTTTAGATTTTCTGCTTATGACATTTGAAGTGAAATGAAATTATCGACATAGTTCACATTATTAATGAAAGGACAGAAATACTACCATTGTCAGTAAAATTAATTGGATCATTGATTAAGCTAGAGAAAAATGATTCATCGATGAACAGCATCACCATTCTGTGTAAGATTGACAGTTGACAGAAAATTGACACAGGTGTTAGGGAAAGCACTTACTTCTTGTTCTTATTTCTAACACAAAAATAGCAAAAAAAAAAAAAGTATTAATGTAGCTCAATGTAAGAAGAAACATTAAAGTTGTAATCTGTGAAATTGCACAGTACATAGTTCTCTTTAAATGTTGAGGGAAACTTGAGTACTCAGTCCCCTTGGCATATCCCAAAGGATAAAGGATGGAGTAAGCAGTCCATATGAAAGGAAACTCACAAACATAAGATGTTTTCCTTGTCTTTCCATGAAACTTTGGTGGTAAGGTTAAGGCAACAACGTACTCCCAGTGGGCCTACTCATAAAAATACCTTTATCAACAGTGAACTTCTTTAAGGAGAGAACTACTTGTAGAGAAAGAAATGTACACATGGAGAGCTCTATCCTGGACTGGAGGTACAGCCAGTTTCATAATTTAATGGATTGAACGTTCAATCCGTTGGTGCTTTTATTGGAAGCATTTTCATAAAAGCAAAACTTTTTTTGGATTATTTAATTGCACAACTACACAAATAAGTGATGGGAAATAGAAATTAAATATTAACTGTGTATGGACATCTTCCTTCTATCATGCTCTACCTGACTTTTATTTATGCTGAATATTTTTGTGGACTGCTTCCTTACACAGACTGGACCATGATGTTATTTTTTAAAAATTATGTTACAAGCATGATTTTTTCTATCTACTTCTATCCCATTTACTTCTGTCAGATGTTCAAATCTCTCTGAGCCTTATCTGCAGTCCGGACTGGTCTGTTGAGGAGAGATCCAAGTTTAATGCCTCCAGAACTTCCCTGAAATGCAGCCTGGTCAGGGAACCGGCTGTCTGTTCCAAAATCTTATTCTCTTAACCTACCCATTCCAGATAGAAGTCCTCCTTTCTCACCCCACTTCCAGTCTATCTCCTTCCTAAATGGTTCTCAAATCCATTACTTACTCTCAGTTTCCATTCCCACTAGCAATGTGTAGCCTGGACCCTCACCTTACTATTTCTTATTACATCCTATCTTATTACATTTCTTATTACATCCTATAGATGTAATAATCCCCCACCAAGGTGATTTTTTAAAAATCGAAATGAAATTCACATAACATAAAATTAACCATTTGAAAGTGAACAAGTCAGTGGCATTTAGTACATTGACGGTGATGTGCAGCCATCACCTCTGATTCCAAAACATTTTTGTCACCCCCAAATAAAGTTCCATACCCGTTAAACAGTTACCCCTCACTCTCCCCAGACCCTGGCAGGCACCAGCCTGCTTTCGTTTCTATAGGTTTACCTATTCTGGATATTTAATATAAATGAATCATACAATGTGTGACCTTTTGTGACTGGCTTCTTTCACTCAGCACAATGTTTTCAAGGATAATCTACATTGCAGCTCGTATCAGTACACCATTACTTTTTATGGCTGAATGATACTCCATTTTATGTATACAGCACAGTTTATCTGTTCATCAACTGATGAACATTTGGGTTGTTTCTACCTCGTGGCTGTCGTGAACAGTGCTGAGACAAACGTGTGTATACAAGTTTTAAGTACCAGTTTTCAGTTCTTTTGGCTATATACCTAGGAGTGGAATTGCTGTGCCCATATAGTGATTCTATGTTTGACTTTTTTTTTTTTTTTGCGGTATGCGGGCCTCTCACTGTTGTGGCCTCTCCCGTGGTGGAGCACAGGCTCCAGACGCGCAGGCTCAGTGGCCATGGCTCACGGGCCTAGCCGCTCCGCGGAATGTGGGATCTTCCCGGACCGGGGCACGAACCCGTATCCTCTGCATTGACAGGTGGACTCTCAACCACTGCGCCACCAGGGAAGCCCTATGTTTGACTTTTTGAGGAACTGCCATACTGCTTTTCACAGTAGCTGTACCATTTTATATTCCCACCAGGAATGCACAAGGATTCCAATTTCTCCTCATCCTTGTAAACACTTATTATTTTCTGTTTTTTAAAATTATAGTCATCTTAACGGATGTGAAGTGGTATATCATTGTCATTTTGATTTACATTTCCCACAGGATTAGTGATGTTGAACATCTCTCCATGTACTTGTTTGTCAGCCATTTGTGTATCAGCTTTGGAGAAATGTCTATTCAAGTCCTTTGCCCATTTTAAAATTGTGTTGATTGTCTCTGTTGTTGAGTGTGAGATACTGGATACTAGACCCTTATCAGATATGATTGCAAATATTTTCTTTCATTCTATATGTTCTCTTTTTGCTTTCTTGATAATGTCCTTTGATGCACAAAACTTTTCAGTCTTGATGAAGTTTAATTTACCCATTTTCTCCTTCTCTTCATGCATTTGGTGTCATATCTAAGAATCTATTGCCAAATTCGAGGTCATAAAGATTTACCCTTATATTTTTTTCTAAGAGCTTTATAGTTTTAGCTCTTACATTTAGGCCTTTGATCCTTTATTGTGTTGAGGAGGTTCTCTTCTAGTTCTCTGAATATTTTTATCAAGACAGGGTTTTGAATCTTGTCAAATGCTTTTCTGAATCACTTGAAATTATCATTTATTTCCTTTTGTCCTGTTAATGTGCTGTGGTACATTGTTTGATTTCTTTTTATGTTGAACTACCATTACAGTCCTGGGATACAGCCACTTGTTCATGGCTTATAATCCTCTTAACATGATCTCGGATTCAGCTTGTTAGAGGTTTTTTTTTGCGGTACGCAGGCCTCTCACTGTTGTGGCCTCTCCCGTTGCAGAGCAACAGGCTCCGGATGCGCAAGCTCAGCGGCCATGGCCCACAGGCCATGGGATCCGCGGCATGTGGGATCCTCCCGGACCGGGACATGAACCCGTATCCCCTGCATCGGCAAGCGGACTCTCGATCACTGAGCCACCAGGGAACCCCCTGTTAGAGTTTTTTGTTTTGTTTTGTCTTGTTTTTTTTTGTTTGTTCATTTGAAGATTTTTTCCTATATATTCATAGGGGTATTAGTCTGTAGTTTTCTTTCATTGTAATATCTTTGTCTGGCTTTGGTATCAAGGCCGTGCTGACGTCACAGAATTAGGAAGTGTTCCCTCCTTTTCTATTTTTGGGAAGAGTTTGAGAGGATTGGTGTTAATTCTTCTTTAAATGTTTGTTAGAATTCATCAATGAAACCATTGAGTTCTGGACTTTTCTTTGTTGGGAGGTTTTTTGATTCAATTTCTGTACTTGTTATAGGTCTTCTGAATTTTTCTGTTTCTTCTTGAGTCTGTTTTGGTAATTTGTGTATTTCTAGGAATTTGTCTGTGACAACTAGGTTATCTAATTTGTTGGCATACAGTTCACAGTATTCTCTTATAATCGTTTTTATTTCTTTGGGTTTGGTAGTAATATCACAATGTGACATTTTTAATGTAAACTCAGTCATGTGCTTCTCTGTGATGGCTTCTCACAACCTATAAGGTAAAATCTGCCTTCCTACTTGACTGAAAGATTATTATGGTCTTTCTCGATTCTTACTATTTTATGTCTTAATAATCTTATCTGTCAGTATTCTGCAGTTTCTTTGCACTAACACTTAGAGTTTCCTGAAGCAGTGATACTGTTTCATATCTGTCTCTTGTTCCAGGTACCTTGCATACACTGTTCCCTCTGCCTAGAAAGTCTTTTTCTGCTCCCGTTCCCACTGTCTACCATATATATATGACATTTGAGTGGCATTTGAGCAAAATTGTAAAGAAGAAACTGATACATATCCATTTCAGTTCTTTACAATTTTGCTCAAATGCCACCTCACTCATCAGCACTACTCTAACACCTTAGGCCCAGTCGTTCCATGCTATGCAGCTCCCCCAGCATGCCATACCTATTCAACTTTAAATATCTTTAGCTACTACACATACGGTAGATGACTTCCAAATCTTTCTTCCCCTGCCTAGATTTCTCTTTGAACTCTAGACAGATATTGTGAGGTGCCTCTGAGACATCTCCCCTGTATTCCAGACTGAAATCATGATCTCCCAGCCTTCTCAAGCTCTCAACATGTTTCCTTTAACTACCCATCTCTCTGAGAACTCCACTGTCTCCAAATAGCCCAAGCCAAAGGTCTGAGCCTCATGCCAGACACCTCTGTTTCCCTGAGCCATGACCAATAGCATCATCTAGTTGAGCTTCTGTAGTTAGAAAGACACAGCGATCCATGGTTTGTATATAGTCTCTGATTTCACTACAGTCCAGAAATATGTAGGTGTTATTTCCACTTATAGGAAGCAATTGAGGCTCCCTGGGGTTGAATGACTTGCCTATCATTCACTGCT